CTGTCCATCGCCTCGCGGACGAGCCACGCGATCCCCGCGTCGCTGGCCACCATGTGCCCCGACCTTTCCACCGCGTTCCGCGATACCTTCCTCTTCTTCGTCCTCCGCTCTGTATTCGTTATGGTTAGCGATGCGAGCCCCGGCACACCGGAGAGTCGCGGCCATGACAGAGGAACGCCGTCACTTTCAATTGGATGATACTGGCGATCGAGATCGTGATGAGACGTCGATTCTTGCCCAGGTTCAGCGTACACCGCGGATTTGCATACAATTTCATATCTGGTGATCGCACGCAAAAGGAGGCGTTTATTGCAATTTTCTCGAATTCCGGATATTTTATAGATGGCAGAGTCTTTGAACAACGTAGACTTTGTCCGAGTCGTGGAACGATCGCGATTGAGAAATTACGACGATAAGTCATAAAGTCATAAATGTTACTTGTCAGATTACGCGTACCACAATATACGTAGTTGAAAACGAAATTGCATATGCACGTGCGTAAAATTGCGATGATAACAGTGGTAAGGTATGGTTAGATCGGATTAGGTTCCATGATCGTACATCCTGAAGGATTTAACCTAACCTAACTTTTCAACCACGATCACCCCAGGCCTCGAACAGAGTGCGTGTTACTCAGGATTTTGCAGGTCAAGGTCATTGGAGTTGAGGTTCCCTCTCGTGCATAGTTTTATGGACAAAGCTGAAACGATGGAATTTATATGGAGAAATATTATTTTATATTATCGCATGTTATTATTTACTCTGCGTAAGTTTTTACGCTTACAAATTTTCCATAAATATTCGCAGCGTAGTAACAAAGGTTGAAGAACATTTTCGCTCGTATATTTCAAAAGTGTTACAATTAAAAATAATTCGATTTTGCGTTAAAGGGATATGAAAACCGTGAAAGGTGGATTACGAGGGACAGTGAATTTTTCCTCGCGAAAGCAGTAAATACAACCGCGAACGATTAATCAACCCCTTGCCATTGTACACGGTGAACAGGAAAACGAGAGGCGTAGCAAAGGAATACAAAATGAGATACAACGCGCGGCTTGATTCCTCCTGCTTCAAAACATTGTATACCAGTTGGCTGTTAGATTCGGCAAAAACTGTTATCGTGTTACGCTGTCCGAATTTAAAGTAGAACATGCGCCCGTTGTCCCGTTGAAAAATCCGAACGATGTGTCCAAGAAAACATCGAATCCCTGCGGCGACACTAAGTAAAACCGCAACGTACCAAATTGTTCCTTCCACCAAGCCTGAAGGTCGATCTCTCAAACAGCGAAAAATCGGAAAACTCCGTCCTTCTACCCAAAAGCGTAAAAACGCTGGCGCGTCGCACACCTGCTGTTTTAATCGGCACACAAAAATAAAATCGCATGCAAAACCGCGGGCTAACGAACTGAAGCAGCATCCGAAAGATAGTGTCACGTCGTACGTAATCTCGATGAGGTCTGGCGGCAGGGCGGGGTCGTTGCCGATGGAGAAGCGTATCGGGCCAAGGCAGAACGGTATCGTGGCCTCGAAACAAACAGCCACGGTCGAAGGTTAAGGGCTTGAGAGGGCGAGGGCGCGCTCGCCGTTACCCGCGAAACCATCTCACGCTCACAGCCACCTCTATCCACATGTACATAGCGAAAGTTAGACAGAGGAAGGCGCACATGCGTGCGTACATGCGTCGCGGTCGTCGTGGAGCGGTGGCTCACGTAAAAGTC